ATGGCTTCACAAAACTCTGCGTATTTGCAAAAGCATGTTATAAGCATCAAATAAACTACAATGCACTGTGTTGCATTTGGTTATAGATATGCATGATCCCATAAACATAAAATACTTTTTTTTTTTTTACTCACATCAAAGCGTCCATTCGCTCTGCCATGGAACTTACAGATAAGATTATTAATTCCTCACACATACGATGAGAGCATATGTCAGTGGTGATCATGCAGGTCTATGGCAATTCATAAAACAAATCATTTTGTGCCCTTTGAAGTGTAGGCAGGACTACTTCAGTGAACAGTGCAGCAAGCCCAGGCTTTGACAGGATGACTCCATGTGTTGCATTAACACAATGAGCAACTCCACATGCTTAGGTGACCAATGACAACATCACCATTATTCCTGGTGTTGGTTTGTTCTTTGTGACAACTCTTATGAGGCAATTTGGTAAGGTGCTAATATTGCATCAATGAGGGGTAATGCAGAATTAGTCTCACTGATTCACTCTGCATATCTCTTGTACCTGCTCTTTAAAATGAATGTTTAATTCAGGCTTAATACTTAATTATGATACAAGTATTACATTACTGGGAAACTGAACCCCCAAGTTTTCATTTCCCTTTGGTTTATCAAGCACAATAATAAAGCACTGTACCCAGGGAGTTTTATGAGACCTCATCTTTCTTTTCCCAACTTAAATACAAGCACTTCCCTCTCAGTCTGAGCAAGTGTGGAGGTATGAGTGTCACAGCAGCACGATGAGTGCATGCAGGCAAACACAGGAGCACAGGGGATGTACTCATCTGAGCACACACACACGCGCACCATTAATCATACATTTTCACACTTACACAAGCACACACCATCTCACATGCTCACACACACACAACTATCACACACCCACACCAACAGGCGGATGGAAAAGCTGGAAGATATTCCGCACTTACTTTCCTTAGTGGGCTTGCCTGAGTTTGCTCTGGCGTAGAGAACCCGTGTAAATGATGCAAAAGACACGCATACAAACAAACAATCTGCCTTTAAAGTGGTTCTCACAAATTTAACAAACTCTCATTGGAACAGCTTTAGTTTTCAGAGAGCCAGCATCCTTCCAAGCAACACTTTCTACATGTGATTCAATACTTTTTTTTCCCCATTTTAAATACAATTTAAATAGATACTTTGTATAAAATAAAAAAATATATATATATATCATCAGAATCAGAATCAGAATGAGCTTTATTGCCAGGTATGTTTACACATACGAGGAATTTGCTTTAGTGACAGAAGCTCCACAGTGCAACAGAATGACAGTGACAAGACAGGACGCAGATAATAAAAAGAATAATATAAAAATAGACAAAATAGACAATGTACAAAAAAGCAAAAACCCAATATATAATATAGACAATTTTGTATGTACAGGTATGATATGTGCAAATTTGAAATGTAAATAAGTATGCGTGTTAAATAAATAATGTATACTAGTGTTGTATGTTCCACGATTATTGTTAAGTGTTCATGAGATGGATTGCCTGAGGGAAGAAACTGTTCCTGTGTCTGGTCGTTCTGGTGCTCAGAGCTCTGTAGCGTCGACCAGATGGCAACAGTTCAAAGAGGGAGTGTGCTGGATGTGAGGGGTCCAGAGTGATTTTGCCAGCCCTTTTGCTCACTCTGGATGAGTACAGTTCTTGGAGAGAAGGGAGGGTTTGATTGATACCATTGATACCAATTTATAATTTTATTTTCTGTTCTCTTAAAAAGACCAATGAAACATAATGCGAGAAAAACTCTAACATAAGTATCCGCCAAATGTTTTTATTTTCTAGTCAAAATGTATACCATGTATATTATAATCTATATCATACTGAATATACTAAATGATAAAAATCATTTAAGCAAGAAGAAATTATATTTATATTACTTGAGCATTCAATTCAACAAAATGACAAACCATCAGAAAAACTTTTTTTTAATTACTTATTTTATATAATTTTTTATTGAACATAAACGTGGTTATCAACCCTTGACTCATTGCCATGGAACACATAACAGCCAAAAGCAAACATAAATGTGACCCTGGAGCACAAAACCAGTCATAAGGGTCAATTTTT